AATATCTTGGGAAAAATACAGTCTTTGTCACATTCCAGATCTGTCACACTAGGTAATCAGCTAAGAATATTCTTGCTCGCTGGAAATAAATGTAATGAATCAATATTATGCCATTTGTTCGCAATCAAGAAAGTTTAATCCCATCATAATAAAACAAAAAATAAAATGAAATTGTCTTGCTTTGTTGGTTAGCCCCCAAATCACAAAAGAAGATGTTGTGATGAAAAGACAATAGGTAACGTGTCTGGTAGCCTATTATTTGTATATAAAGATTACTATGTAAATTGTGCATAAGTGATACTGAAGAGGGTTATAAATCATTTGCCTAGTTAAGATAATGGAATCTTTATTTCAGTAGATTATGCCACAAAATATAAAAGCTTTCAGCTAGATTGAATGCTGTGTAATTAATAATAGTCATTGAAAGGTTTCAAGCAGTTCTAGAACAGTTGGGAATAGAAATTGCTACATAATGTTAACCAAATTCTTCTCACTGAAGAATGCGTGCCTGAATCTTATTTTAGGCATTGGGCAGAACAATCATATAATTGCCCTGGAAATCTGTAGGTTGCAGTTCAAACTTAAAATAAGAAAGTTCTGTATATTTCATTTTTCAATATAATGCAAAGATTCTGCATTTTTTTACCCCAAGGAGCTGTGTGTTACGATGTTGAGGAAAATAATACTATCTTCTATGCAATTATCAAAGATAGAGATTAAATAGAAGTAGCTTAGCCTCATTGGTTCATGTTTAGGTAACCGGAATGAAATACTGTAGTGCAATGAACCATAGATTCTCCTTTTCTTTTTCCAAGAGCTTACAACCTCATTTAGCTGAAGTTAATGTATTCTGATATGAACTTCACAGTATTGTCTCACAGCTTGGGAATTACCTAAGAATGGGGTCTTAATTTTTGTTGTAGACATTTATTTATTTATTTATCAATTTGTTGAATTATGTAGCCACCCTTTTCACAAGCAATTCTTGTTTGCAAACTAAACTGCAATCATTAACTTCTATGAAAGAAAACAAATCATGTTCCAAATTCCTTGCTCTCGTGATCCCAAGGAGTGGCGGAATCAGTGTAGATTTTTAGTTCTCAATTTAAGTGTCTTGGTTAATTTGGCACATAAACCCCAGTGACAGCTACTGAAAAATATGTTACTCAATAACTCCATCTTGGATGCAGTTGCTTAACCTCATCAACTTTAAGTTGGGTAGACTTCAACTCCCATAATTCCCTGCTTTCTGGGGAATTCAGAAACTTGCACTCCACACTTCTTAAAGTTATCAAGGTTGAGAAATACCGTAATAGAGGATGATAGGAGTACTAAACAAATTTAAGAAAGACAGAAGCTGTTAAAAGAAATAATTTTATGTAATATTTCCATACTGTATTAAATCTATTTTCTAATATATCCAAATAAGAGAGGCAAGCTTGATCCTTATCATTATACTGCCATAATGTCACTGCTATTTTTAATATAATATTTTAGGCATTTTTATCCCGCCTTTATTATTTTTATAAATACCTCAATCCAGTGCACATACCTAATGCTCCTTCCTCTTCCTATTTTACCCACAACAACAACCCTGTGAGGTGGCTTGAGCTGAGAGTGAGAGACTGGCCCAAAATCAGCCAGCTGATTTTCATGCCTAAGGTGGGACTGGAACATAAAGTCTCCTAAAATCTAGGCTGGTGTCCTAAACTGTATAACTTAAATCATGTTTAATTATTGTTTTATGGTATTGATATTATAGCTGTTAGCTGCTTTGGGCATCATTAATATTAAAATATATCATCTGTTCCAACAATCCCCTTTTCAGTTCTTTCTTGCTAAGCTTAGCTGCACTTAGAAGTTAGAAAGGCTGAACAAAAACCCTAAGGGAAAAATGCATCCTTTTGCTACCTCCAACCTCTTTCGGGGAAAGACTAACATGCAATTTGACAATTCTGCAGGAGATCACATTGGGTTCTTGGCAGTTCTTATGAGCCTATGGAATACATCTTATAACAACAGCAGCAACAGCATTTATTTTTTTATCCAGAAAATTACTCAGGGAAAATGGCTGATTCTATCAGGCTATTGAAGATATTACAAGGAATACAATAAAGGAACACAGAGTAATTATTAAGGAATGAAAAAGCAATTTATTATACAGTATTTGTTCATCCTTGCCAAACTTTCTGGTTATTGAGATACCATTCTGCAATCAAGTAAGATAAACTGTTTCACTCTTTCATGATCTAAGCCACAGCTCTTCAACATGTTATTTACTGTAACTTTATGCAGCAAAATGTATTACGAAAAGGTGATAAATTATATTCTTATGAAACATTGAGGGCACCAGTGGATCAGAAGATCAACCAGGTAGAACGAGACAATCTGGTAGTTAAAATCACAGAAATCCCAAAACAGAAACAACCAGAATCATTAACCCGTTATATATGTAGAGATATGCCACTAATACAGCCTATCGACATGCAACTCATATTGAACTGATTTTCTACAGCAATGGCACAACTCTAGGACTAGTCATATCTTATTTCCCATATTTCTTGATTGGCAAGGTTAGAATTTGCTGCTGTCAGAAAAGAAAATGTTGCAGAATATTTGTGAAAGGCCATGGATTAAGGATTGATTGAGATCAGATAAAGAATTACCTGAATTGGGCTTATGTCTGCTTAAATCTAATACATGAATACTTTCCATGTGATGCAAATAAATGTTGATAATATTCTTGAACTTTAGAGTGGAAGCTATCAACCTCCGACCCGACCCTTATTCTGGAAGTACAGGCTGCTACTGCATGTTCAAAAACTTGTTGAAAAATTTTTATTATTGCCATTGCAGCTAGTTATGTCTCTCTTTGGTATACATCATAATCCTTCAAACAAAAAAGCTCAATTTAATTACCAAAGCATTACTAGTTCAGCTCAGATTTCTTCTTTTGGCCATTAGCTGCCTATAAATCTTTACTGACTGAAAGAAACCTCAGTATGGTAAAAATAGAACTAAGCCTTGGAAATGATAGTACAACAGCAGCAAGAAAACCAAACAATTAAGAACTTTTGAAAAGAATTTATTGGCTAGTCAAATTTATATGGCTTCCCATCTCACACCAGGTGACTGGCATGCAATGAAAACATTCTATAAAGCCAGTTAAAAACTATGAACATAAACAAAGGAAAATCACAAGAGGGAATATATATATAAAGGCTAATCTCCTAGGTCTCATCAGATAGAACTCCCTTGCAGATGGGATCCACAACATGCCTCTCCTGCCAGATCTGATGGGACAGGTAGAGGTAATCAGAGAGAGGCAATCCCTCAGATAACCTTGCCCCATGCTATAAAGAGCTGTAAAGGTCAAAACCAGCAACTTAAAATGGACCTGGAAGCAAGTGACAGCCAATGAAGGGCTGTCTAATGTACTGTCCTTTTAGAGGAACACATAAACTGTCCATACTGCCACATTTTGCACCAGCTTTCAGGTACTTTTCAAGGGCAGACACATAATATTTGTTTGCTTGCTTGCTTGTTTTTGTGTGGCTGTCCATCTCACCAAGTGACTCTGGTGGCAAATAAAATTTAAAAAATAAAAAACAATGAGTACAATAATTAAAATGGGCAAACACACTAGGATGATAGTATGAGTTCCCTGAATAGTTCAGGCATTTTAATTTAGGGCAAAATATGTATTTTATTTTGCAAGGTAATATAATCATTAAGCATCTGACCTGGGGCATATGGTCTTGTGAACCATTTGGAAGAACTCAAATATGTTTGGGCTTACTTAAAAATTGCAGAAAAATAGAAAAAATAAAATAGAATAGAAATGTCAGACAGGACCCAGAAATTAAAAAAATGGAAATAAAAGACGAAAAATATAAACTACAAGCATTTGCAGATGATTTGATATTTATACCAGAAGACCTGTTGGAAACAAGCTCTAAATTATTGACAAAGATAGAAGAATTCGGAGAAGTGGTTAGAGAAAATGTTAAAAAAACATGGAATTAATTCTTTTAGGTGTAACCTCAGAAAACTATGATAAAGAATGTGTATATTTAATATTACATATACTAACAGCAGCAAGAATTACATTTGCACAGCATTGGAAAAATGAAGAAATACCAGCTGAAGAAGAGATAATTAAGAAAATTTTGGACTGTGCGGAAATGTACAGGCTTACATTGAAAATGAAAGGGAAAGAAGATACAGAATACTTTCAAACATAGGATACATTTTACCTATGGCTAGAAAAAGAGAGTAGAAAGTAGGAATTTAAGATGTATTAAGTTAAATATGTGGACTCAGACAACACATTGTTTACCAAGCACTAAAGATTTGTAATTATAAAAAGTAATACAATATTTTTAAAAAGTTGCAGAAAAAGATACACATGCACTTATTTACAGTACATGCACAGAAGCATATTTGCTTCAGTATTCACCACTTGATAAGCATGCAAAAAGGTCTATATTATACCATGTCTGCTAAAGTTCAATATAAGATTGATGGATTCATATTTTTGTTTGGATCAAAATGTGATTTATTTCCTTGTGCTTTATTATGGTGTGTGAATCAAGGTTGTGACTTATTCAACATTGGGGTTAAGCAAACCACAGTCTATCAGGTCTAAATCTTTTGCCAATGACAGGTCTTTGTTTCCACATTAACTTCACTTTCCTGAATTAATCTGTACACCAGAATTCTATAAAGGGAAAGAGGGTTAAAATTAGAGGCAACTAAATGTTCTACTCCACACTTCAGTGATTTGCTAACATTGCTAAGATGGCAGAACATTTTAAAGATATATCCAGTGTATCTATTTCTCCTTACCCAAATAAGCAGTAATGTGGAGGACTGTTGAGAGGGAACGTAGGTATAAAGTCAGAACTAGAATTCTTGTATGCAAGATATATAATTATTGAATTGTTCCTTGCCCTTGAAGATTAGCCTTTGATTAGGTCAAGGGTTCATGTAACAATTACCTATTGCTCATTGCCTGGAGTTGTTTTGGAGGTACCTCTGGGTCATGAGTTCCTTTCGAGATATGTATAGTCTGCAAAGCAGTGTCAAATGTAAAAGGAAAAAAAAAAAAACGGTTAAATTTGCTGCAACTGCTATACATGCATTTAGTAATACTGAACAATATTTATCTAAGAGTTACAGTGCAGAAGCATATGGAATACTAAGGAAGAAAAAGCTCACATTGACACTTTTAAATTTTGGTACTACAATGCAAAATATAATAAATATTGCAATATTGCTGTATAATTAAGGATATATTTAGATTCTTCAGTCTAGTTTCCCTTCCCGAGTCTTGAGTCATATTAAAAGTTGCAGCATATTATATAAGCCAGCTGGAAGAGCAGGCTACATGTAATTCTAGGCAGTTCTCTTGGTTTTGTTTTGGCAATTTAAAATTCTTTTCTGTCAATATGCGAGGTTCAGTAGGCTGCATTTGTTTTGCTCAAATTTTTACATTGTTTACTTTGATTGAAAACTAATTAAGAATATCATTTTCTTGCATTAACTTTTAAAATGTTGTGGTCATTTGAGAAATGGCTCAACCCAAACTTGGTATCTTAAAGTATCAAACGTTTTTTAGTTACATCAGGATGCATAAACAGATACACATCCCAAACTTGGGAAAACTTAGATGTGCATTTCCATGGATAGTTTTATCATAAGTGAGGTTTGTAAACCACAACAAAGTGACTTTCTGATCTTCAAAATAATTTTCAAAACGGTTTATTGTTTGCTTTCAAATAATGTATCACAAAAGCAGAAGATAAAAATACCATATATAACTTTAGGAAAAAAGAGAACTAATTAAAATCAGCAAAACTAGAACCAGCATCACAAAGAATATATATTTATCAGACATAAAATTACAGGACAAAGCAGTGGATATATACGAAAACAAAGTTCAAGAGGAGGCTGGAAAGGTTAAGAAATTAGCAACAGGCTTCCCAAAACTAAATTTTTTACATATTGTTTGAAGTGACTATCTCTGATCAGGTATGACAAAAGTATAGCATGCAAGGATTTTGTTCAAGAGCTTTTGTGGAATAGATGAGGTGGAATTCTTCCTTCAAGTGCTGTGAATCCAGTCATGGCTCCCAACAATTAGAACTGAGTTCAGAAATGAGCCAATGAATTTCAGCATATGATTATATTGGCATTCAATTTGACCATAATACGCAATTTCAGTCTGGTTACAGACAACTCAACAGAAAATGATTCCAACATGGAATAAACACCCTTCAAAAAATTTACAGGCACTATAATGCTGTATTTTCCTGTGGAGACATATATAATTATGGTGGTTTCATTAGTAATGCCCCCAAGATTAGCTCTTCAATTAAAGATGAAAATGTGGGGATTAAGTCCTATAAAGTAATTCACATATTAGTAATTCACATATCATTTCACTGCTACAGAATAGAGCAATTGTCAGATAATCTCTTTTGATCAGGAAGTCTATGGAGATTCTCAGTCATCCAGGTCAAGGTTGTCCCAAAAGTCCTTTTTTTCCAAAAGGCAACTGGACTTTGTTTTTTTTTTTCTTGAAGACATTTCGTTTCTCATCCAAGAGGTTTCTTCAGCTCTGAAGAAGCTTCTTGGATGTGAAGGGAATCATCTTCAAGGAAAAAACAAAGTGCAATTGCCTTTTTGGGGGGGGGGGAGCTCTTGATGGGGAAATTTCTCTTTGGCAAAGCACACCTTGCTTGTCAAGAAGCCCAAGGCAAAGGTCAACTTTTAGATAAGGCGCTACAATCATGACCCAGGAGAGCTCCACACCTGCTGCCTGCTATACCTGCGGATGCTTACAACTCACTTTTCTCTGTGTGTGATCTTACAAACCCCCGTTTGCTAAACATTCGGAACCGGGAGCCTTCCCAACGCGTTCAAAGTCCGTCCCCCCTCGATGCCTAACTAGCTTCACGCCTGGCGGTTTTTGGGTAGCTGGAATCCAACTGGAAGGCACCGGTTAGAGAAGGGTGGGCAGTACTTACATACTGGCCATTAACCTCTGCAAAAGCCCTCCGAATGGGATTAAGCCGTGTTCTTCTTACTCGGGCGCTAACCTGGCACCGGGGAGGTCCCGACGCCTTCCAAGCCGCCCCCACGATACCCCAAAGGGCAGCCTGACTACACCTGCACGCTTTTGTCTTCCCCCCCCCTGCGTGCGTGCGTGCGTGCGCACGAGCCGCATTTCCCCCCCCCCTCCACCCCCGTGCTCACCGCTGGCGTGGGCTGGTCGTGAGCGGGAGAGGGAGGGATGTAAAGCGCCGCGGCTTTCCCATTGGCCGCTTGCCGGAGTGGTTTTTCCCTTGCTCGGCTCTGAAGAGTGCGAGCTGTTAAGAAAGGGAGGTTGGTCGCCGGAAAAGGGAGCGCGAGCAAAGCGGCGGGTGAGTGAGCGAGCTGGAGGGGCGGGTTTTCTTCCCGGTCTCTTGCTGCCCCAGCCAGAAGGAAGCTCCCTGCGCCAAGGAGAGGTTCCCGGTGCGCCTCCCCTCGTCCCCCTGCGGCGGCGGCGGCGGCGGCTCCGCCAGACGTGTCGGGGGGTTTCCCTCCTTCGCCAGCGCCGGGGGCGGAGAGTGGGGCAAGGCCTTCCAGGAGAGAGCAAGGGCCAAAGAGGAAAAGCGCAAGGCTCTTTGCGCCCCTCCCCGGCAGGGCGAAGGGGAATGCCCGCCGCGCCTGGCCAGCTGGATTTCACCGACAGCCGAGCGGGCGGATTTTAGGCGGCGGCGGCGGCGGCGGCGGCTCCTCCCGGTTGCACGTCCTAGTTGACCGGGTAACGGAGGGGGAGTTGCTGAGGAATGTGGCGTCCGTGCGGCTCAAGGCTCCTGGCTCAGGTGAAATGGTGGCTTTTGGTGCTCCTGCTTGCCGCGCGGGGAACAAGGTGAGATGCGCGCGAGAAAGCGGCGCGCGGAGTTTAGGAGGTGCCTTTCTTTCCCTTGCTCTCCTTCTCCCCCCCCCCCCCAGTGAGGCGTTGTTCTGAGGCAAAAAGGGTGACTTCTTTTCTGGTGTCTCCATTTCGCAGCTCGAGGCAAGGGGAAGAGGCTGTCGCTTGTGCAAGGCAGGCGGAGGGAGAGGACATTTGTTGGGAGCCGAATTGGCAGCCCAGGCCCGGCGATTTTTAGAGAGTGAAGTTAACCAGCCGGCGGCCACCCGGCACCAGCAGAGCTGCTCTCTGCTCTGATTTCCCCAACCCTGCTTGCTGGGAGGCACTGCCGGCTTGGTGTACGGACCTCTGTGCAGGGAGAAAACAAGGGACATAACCGCACCCTTCCTGCAAACATGGGCATTTTAACTCTCCCCTTGCTTTTCTGTGTCTCTTCTCCAGAGCTAGTGGCCATGCATGAAGTCCTGGAAGATCCTACCAAGGTGGAGATGATGAGTTGAAAGGCAAAGGCAGTGGAAGCTGGTTGTGGGCTTTCCCTTCTGAGCAGCGACAGCTATCATGACTGTCTTCCGGCAAGAAAACCTGGAGGATCACTACGAGATTGGAGAGGAACTTGGAAGGTAGAGTACCTGTTGGGAGGAAAGTATATCGACTGGATGGCTTTGATTGATAAAAATCCTTGGGGACAATGAAACCCACAGTGCAAGTGTTTTGGGTTGGGAATAAGGCTGAAGGTTATGGTGACCACAAGAGGACGTGGGAACCAATCAGTGGCATGTGCACAACAACAGTAAACTGTGAACCGGCTAAGTGCATTTTAGTCTTCTGTGGATTGTGAAATCAGTCTGCTTGATAGATTGCTGTTTCTGTGTGGCATGTGAACCCAGAAATTTGGGTTAATTGACTAAACTCTAGTTCAGTTGACCAAGATAATAAATATATTGTGGGAACAAAGTCACAGGACTGAACTGTAAATGTGTTTACCATTCATGCATGCATTCCAATGAGCTGCTTAAATGCTGCAGATTAAGAATTACATTATGCTATCTTTTAGCAGCTGCATGCCTTTTAAGGGGATCATTAGACCCCCAGTGAAATGTATTATGCTGTGGCTGGGAACCGAGCACTTATACTGGTGTTATGTAGGCATTTTTTCTGAGAAAAACTCAATATTCTGATGAAATTACCTCAAAAAAAGATTCCAAGAAACCTGCTTTGATGAAAAATATTGGATTGAAAAATATTGAAATTGTCACCTCTATGTTTGTTTTATGCTGATAGTAACTGATTATAAGAACGGTTTGCTTGATCCCAACCTCAGCAGTGAATTGTTAATGGATGTGGTAAAACCCAAATTGGTATGAATCTATTCAGTTGCATCTTAAGCCTTAATATGGTGGATTCTGAATCCAAATAATTTTTAATATTATCCATTTTGTTGACACTTGATAATTCCCAAACTATTCCCGAGCTTCCTTATTCATTTTAGTCAAATGTCAGATCAAATGAATTATTGTTATTATACAGTGCAGCTTTAACACAGATTCCATAAAGCTTGTTAGTTGAACATTAGAGCATGCTGGGTGTGTACCATAGCTTTGTGATAGGATAAACAAAACTGTTGACTGCTGATTTTAGTTCCATTTTATTTTAAATCTCTGAGTTTAATTGCTCAACTGCATTTGTTTTAAAGTGTATTACATTCTCGTTGTTAAGGTATTGTTTAAGCTTTCAGTAAAATCCCTAAGTGAACAGTAAATACTTCCATTTCAAGTATTACAGTTCTCATATACCCTCATAATTAACCTGTAAAGAAAGTTTAGATTGAAAGTTTGCTGTGATTTCCAAGCCATAATAAAAATGGTATGAAGGTTGGTAAGATTACTGAGAACCAGTTTAGCAATTTGGATGTCATGCAAAGCAAAGCAAAAACTCACAAGGAAACAATAATGTAAACAGAACAAATATATCAACTTGCAGAAAGACTTCTAGCTGTTGGACTAATGAGCTATGTAAACGTGGACATGGGTTCAAATCAGCCCCTTAGTTTGGTAATTGTGATTTATAGGATTTTTTTTGAGGATGTGTTTAAATTATGGTCCTCTTGAATTTATATTTGAGTTATATACAATTAAGAGACCAATTCAGTGTAGTGGTTAAAGCCACCAAGCTAGAAACCAGTCACTTTCTCTCAGCCTTAGAAAGAATGCCATAGCAAACCACTTTGAAAATGTTGCAAAAAACTACAAGGACTTAACCAGGGAATCGCCAAGAGTCATCAATGGCTTGAGGCATGAGGGTTTTTTTTCCTTTTTATGTGTAATTATAATGCAAAGAAAAGACAATTTTTGACTTTTAATCTCAACACTCAAATTATTTTGGAGCAGGCAATAGATTTACTGTATGTGTTGTGAACTGACTGTACACTGCTTATTTTATAGCTACAGGGGAAAATCCAAGGCTCCTTCAAATTAATAAGAAAACAGCAACTAGAGGATTAACTTGCATTCTGACATCATTCAAATAAATTTCTACAGAAAATTATAGCCTATTGTGAAAGTAAAAATAAACTTATATCATTTTATTCATTGTTATTTATATGCAATATGTAGCTAATTATAATCTACAAGATAATTGTAGGGCTGTTTTAAGCACTGAGCCCTGTTTTAAGAATTTCATATTGTTACCAGGAGTCTAATACTAATTTAGAATAGTAATGAGAATGAATAGTAACAGTGTTAAATGTATACAGAATTAATGTAAGGAAAGGATTTGAAATCCAGAATGTATTAAATAGGAGATTCTTGGGTTCTATATATTAGGATAAAAAAAGTTAATTTGCCAAAAATAATACTTTGAACTTTTTTTTCTTAACTGCTGCAAAATTTGTAGTGAGGTATATAACTTTTTCTTGTTTAAAATTAACTGATGCTGATTTGCTGTAAGCATGATAAAACTGCAAAACGTATCTTATTTTAAAAGATAATATATGAGTAAGTAAAATTTGTATATTTTATTTGATAAGTGGAAATTTGTCTATTAACCTCTGTGGGACATTTTAAAAAGTTGTCTGAGAACTTTTAACTTGCTTTTATATTGACTTGTATCACCAATCATTTTACCTCAGTATAATTTTATGCCTCTAAATGATGATAATGAATGTGTAGTTAACATTCTATAACAGTGATTTGAACCCACAGCCATATGAGCAAAACAATTAGTACCCCCTTGCTTGTCACTTAAACCAGGGGTCCTCAACCTTGGCAACTTTGCTGGCTGAGGAATTCTGGGAGTTGAAGTCCACAAGTCTTAAAATTGCCAAGATTGACGACCTGACTTAAACAACAACAGTTATAAGCAACCAATACATTGTACAAGACCATAAAAAATTTTGGTTCCATTTAAGAGGAAATTATTTTGAAATACATGCATGCCTTCTCTATTGCATTCTGTCCTTTGTGGTTATGAACAGTGTGACTGTGCATTTTAAATACTGTATTTGCTGGTTTCTTTTATATGCTATATACTGTTTCAGGGACTATATATGTAGTTGCCAGAGTGCTACATTCTTGTAATACTTTTTTTAAAATTATCCTTGATCAAAACAGCCCAAGAATTTGTTCCCATGAAGGTGGCTTAACATTAAAGGCAGTATTATGTTGACCTTGAAACTTTAAGATTAACCTGAAGTGAAATAGTTTAAATAACTTGTATCTGAAATACCTTCTGGTAGTGTTTGGTTAACAACAGAAATTGGGACCAGGAATTCCATCGCTAAGCAACACGGTCATAAAATGCACATGACCGTGCCAACTTACAACAGCAGTTCCATTTGCCATTGTTAAGAGAATCCAGTGTGGTGGTTAAGTGTGACATCATGTGATTGCCATTTTGCGGTCTCCTGTCAAGTGTTTCAGTCGCGATCACATGACTGCAGTGGCTCTTCAAGAACACAATTTTGAGGACCTTCTGTAAGTCTCCTTATTCAGTTCTATCGTAAGTTTGAATGGTCACTGAACAAAGAGTTGTTAATCGAGAACTATCTGTATTTCAAGAAAGTAAACTACAGGATCACTGGTTCAGTATGCATGAAATACCCATATAGAATTTTCATTTTTAGGGATGTATGACGCATCCGGCCCGTGGGCCGGCAGTTTGACACCCCTGTGTTAGGGTAAAGAGTATAGCACAGCCTGAGTTATGTCAATTCACGCTAGATTCTGTCTCACATCTGAGTAGAAATAAGGTTTGTACAATCAGA